CCATCAGGTGTTTTAGACAGGCACAGTAACACAGCTCCACAGAGTTAAACAAATGCAACATAAACAAAAGTAACACACCTTAAAATAACATTCTACTGCAGATACTGAATATTTTTATTGTAGGACATGGGAAACAGAGTGGAGCGAAGTTGAAGTAGTAGGCATTAACAGTGCCTTAAGGGAGAACTGTTCCGGAGAGCGGCATGCTTGTTACACGTAACAGCTTCCTGGTTAGATTGAAGGCCTGCACAGCCAGGACTGCACGCGCGCCATCTGCAACGCCGTTTATCATTCTGTCAGCACCTACGTTTCTTGGGGCCCCAGTCCTTGGATGCACGATGGGCCCAGCCTCAGTGGCAAGAAGTGGTGGGAGTGAAATTACTCTCCAGCCCCACTTCTTCTTTCAGAATCCACAAACACACTCCACACACGACCTGCGGAGACTCACGCCGGTCCATAGACTGAGGCGAGCCTGGGCCAGTGGGGACCACACATGCCAATCAGGCTGTGTAGACTACTCCACTGCGACACTGGCCCCTGCTCCCCTACTTTAGGAAATGACTTCAAAAGAAACAGAGGACGTCATTGCCCTAGTTCTTCACCTCCCATCAGGCAGAAAGGAATACAACGAAAATGACAAAGGCAATTTTATGATTTGTCTGCTACAATATCATCAGGGTTACTTTTTCCACATCACAGTGAGCTGGAGGCTGACAGACACACAGAGGAAGATCACAGCTCATGTTCCTGAGCAGAAGGGAGTGGGTATGTGAAGTGAATTAGAGAGACATCCACAAGCCATGTGAGGAGGTCCATGAAGGATTCACCTGTCTTCTGGAAGCCCATGCTGTAGTAGAGGCTCACAGCACCTTGCTGCAAAAGGCCAGTCGCAAGGACAACGTCATTGTAGCCCTGGTCCCGTGCAAACTGGAGGACAGTTCTGACCAGGGCTCTCGCTATCCCCTGTCCTCGATGCTGTGAGGACACAGACAGGCGAAAGAGCTGCAGCTGCTTCCTCCCTGACGGGGGATCCTTGACTGGCTGAGAAGCCACTGTCCCCACTACCTGTCCCCCAGACTCAGCCACCCAGAAACCTGCCCCAGACACATTCAAGTAGGACTTGGTGATGTCAGCCATGTCTGTGTGCAAACACATGGACACATAATTCTTCCAGGGTTGGCCTGCAAGGAACCGCAAGAATAGAAGCAGAAAGACAATGCATACAACAGCCAGGAGCCAGGAGCCAGACACCAGGACTATGGCAAGAGGCACCCCAATTAAGAGCAGGAGGGTTCGGGGCAGTTTCAGCAGGTGGCGGAAGGTGGCAGGGGTGTGTTCCTCCATGCCCATGGAGAACAGTTCTAGGACTCTTTTGCGGTCCCTCTCCTGGTACGTGCGGATGTGATAAGGAGCCATGGGTAGACTTCTGGATCTCAAATATCAGCAGTCACAAGAGACAGTGAGATCTTTTTTTTTTTTCACGCCTTTCTTGAGCCCTGCAAGAGAGAGTAGAAGCCATCTGAGTTCCCTCCACCCCCCACCTTGCTCCCAGCCTTGCAGGAGCCATGTAGACTTTGCTCAAGGGTGTGTCTTTTAGTATCACCCAAGAAAAAGCTAAATACCTCTGGGGAAACATGTTGGGTCAGCAACACCTGATTAACTCCCAAGTTCTTCCCTTTCTAGACCTGTGACCCTGAACATGTCACGTTACCTCTCTGAGCCTGTGTGTCTTTCTCCCAGACAGGGTAAGATAACACTTTGTTTCTAACGTTGCTTTGAGGATTTAAAATGGTGATCTGTATGCAGCACAGACATGATTAGTCCCTTCTCCTCCTCCCTCCTTACTCAGTAACTGGCTCCCTGTTATTTTGATACCTTAAGACGGCACACTAGAAACAGGATGTGGTGTCCACAGCTATTGGCTTCCTCTTCAGGGTCTGTTGATAGCAGAACCCCATGTTCCCATGGGCAAGTTTCAGAAAGCCCTCTTCTCCCTGGCTGGGAAGATTAAATCTGCCAAAAGGGCAGAAGGTCATCTCCAAACACCCCACCCAACTCAACCCCTCCCCACCCCAACCTTGAATCCCTAGGAACATGGTCAGACTACAGGTGCACTAGAGACTTCCTGCCTGGCTTTGCCCATCTCTCCTCTCACCTGGTACCACAGAGCTGAGAGCGTTCAGGATAGTCTCGGCCTCTAAATGGCATCCAACGAGAATCTGCTAGAACTTGCCTCAGCTCTGGGGAGCAGCCTCAGCCTGGCAACTCATTGGCTGGCTCCCGGATAATCATAAACCAAAGGTCAAGAGCTGGAATGTGACGGAGGAGAGAGCGGCAGGCTCTGGAGTGGCTCTCGTGGAAGGCCTGCTACCTCTCTTCCTGATTCCTTCCCAACCCCACACCTCTCACTGAGCGCACTTGGCCTCCCTGAGACGTACCAGGCTCCCCTACGCACATCTGCTCTGAGTGAGAGGACTGTGCAACTCACTATTGCCTCACACATCCCGAACAAGGGGCTGGGCTCTCTGAATCAAAAGAAGGCACTCCATCTGGCCTTCCCCCTGCCCAGGCTGTACCTGTACCTGTACAAAGGGATCTCGGCAGCCCCAACGCTGCTCTCCAGTTCCTGCTTCTTATCATTAGGCCCTAGCTGAGCCGTAGTGGGGAGGCACCTGCTGGGCTGCACATGTCCCTCTCATCAGTTGTGTGGCAATCCAGATGACAGGCTCAAGCAGGCCTAAGGAAGAGGATGTCAGAATTCCAGGAGCTGTGCTTGTGAGCTTCTGGAAAGCATTCTATCTCAACCGTTGAGACATTGATGATCCCCTAATCCTGGTTAGTTTTCTGCTGCTGTGATAAACACCATGACCAAAAACAACTTGGGGAAGAGAAGACTTATGTGGGTTATACATTCCATCCACAGTCCATCACTGAGGGAAGCCAAGACAGGAGTTGAAGTAGGGCAGGAACCTGGAGGCAGGAACTGAAGCAGAAGCCATGGACCAATGTTGCTTAGTGGCTTGACCTCCATGGCTTTCTCAGCTTCCTTTGTTATATCTCTCAGGACCACCTGCTCAAGGGTGGCTGACGGAACCCTGCAGGTTTCAAGGCAGGGAAGCGAACCCATGAAGAGATGAGAATGAAAACTCAGTTCAGGTGGACTTTGTCCACCTGGACCAGACTTGGGGAGTCTGATGCAGGTGGTTCATTGTCAGCATATTTAAAACACAGTACAGCCGAGAGGTGGTGGCACCCGCCTTTAATCCCAGCACTCGGGAGGCAGAGCCAGGCGGATTTCTGTGAGTTTGAGGCCAGCCTGGGCTGCAGAGTGAGATCCAGGAAAGGCTCAAAGCTACACAGAGAAACTCTGTCTCGAAAAACCAAAAAAAAAAAAAAAACACAGTACAATTTGGGAAAAAGTTTCCAGGCGACAATCATTCCAATTCCAGGCACACAATAAAGCTTAAGGTGGGACTACTTAGAAACTCCTTTACAAAGTGCACGTGTCTCCAAGATGGGTTCTGTAGATAAACTGCCTAGGGTCTGGTGTGGTCTCTGACTGAGACTGCACAGAGGTCAGAAGGCCATCAAGTACCTGTGACATTCCCCCACTAAGGACGGGTTCCACTAGCTGGGAGCTAGGGAGGGAGAGTCTGGAATGAACATACTGGGGGAGTTAGGTGAGGTCTGCCCTATAGCAAAAGGTGGGTGAGGTCTGCTACTACAGAGAGCCCCAAAGTCACCAGGTCATTAACAATATCCACTCCCAGCTTTCTGGGCAGGTATTTTATCTCCTCTATTGACGAGAAGCCCCCGTGTGTTTGACATTCCTGCTTTCCCTAGTTATCTGTGGATGCAAAGCCCTTGTGCCCCCAACAGGTGACTGTTTTAGTCCTCTATTGCTGGGAAGAGACACCACGACCACGGCAACTTATAACATGAAAGCATTTAATTGGGGTTTGCATTCAGTTTCAGAGGTTTGGACCATTGTCCTCATGGCAGGGCCATGGCAGCACACAGACAGACATGGTAGCTGAGAGTTCTACATCTTGATCCAAAGGCAGCAGGAAAAGGGAGACACTGGGCCTGGCTTAGGCATCTGAAACCTCAAAGCCCTCCCCCCAGTGACATACTTCCTCCACCAAGGCCACACCTCCTACTCCTTTCAAATATACCATTCCCTAAAGCATTCAAATACACGAACCTGTGGGGGCCATTCTTATTCAAACCACAATAGTGGCACCACCTACAATTGGGTGGCCCCCCTGCATCAATCATCAAGCAAGAAAATGCCCCCCAGACTTGTCTACAGGCCAACCTTATGGAGGCATTTTCTAAAATGAGGCTCCCTCATGCCAGATGACTCTAGCTTGTATCAAGTTGACAAGCCCTCCCCCCCACCCAAAAAAAAAAAAAACCAAAAAAAAAAAAAAACCCAAAAATGAAATAGCACACTCCTCTGCATCTCCCTCCTTGGAGGAAGATCTCACCTCCTTCCCTGATGTGGTGCCTGCTGCTTGGCAGCCGGCAGCCCCGTGTTCAGTTACAGGTTTCCTTTCTGACATACAACATGCTCGAGCGTTGGTTGATACTTGTGTGCCTCGGTTCACGGCAGCTCCCCGAAGAACCCAAGGTGACAGGCGGCAGTGAAAAGGTACAAAGACAGAGCGGGAGGGGTGGAAAAAACTTTCCCACAAGAGCATGTGGTGCGCATCTCTCCCCTTCATGAAAATACCTTGAGAGTGCGGAGACTCGTCATCCAGTCCGAGGCCCTTTCAGCAGCCGGGCGTGGCCAATGGAGAGCGGCAACAGAGCCAGCCTGGACCCTGCCAGACCAGAGAACTCAGCAGTGACCACGGCAGGATTGAACATGGCCTGGCTATATTTGGTTTGGAGTTGGGCAAAGCAGCTTCATCTAGGCACTTCCAGCTCAATGGGAGTGGGAAAATGGCCAGGCAACATGGAGAAGCTCCCCCAAATGAAGAGACCAAGCGGCTTCTGGAAAAAGATTATAGAGGGCTAACTGAATGTAACATTGCTCTTTTGAGGAAACAACGGATAAAATCTGTGGTACCTGTCTTAGTTGGGACTACTATTGTGTGAAGAAACACCATGAATGAAGGCAACTCTTAAAATGAGCATTTAACTGGGTGCTTGCTTACAGTTGTAGAGGATTAGTCCATGGTTGTCATGGTGGGAAGCAGACAGATATGGTTCTGGAGCAGCAGCTGAAAGCTTTACATCCTTATCCAAAGGTAGCACATAGAGACTAGGCCTGTCATGACCTTCTGAAACCCACCCCTAGTGACACACCTCCTTCAACAAAGCCATACTTACTCCAATAAGGCCACACCTCCTAATCCTTCTCAAACAGTTTCACTCTCTGGGGACTAAGCAGGCAAATATATGAGCCTATTGGGGCCATTCTCAATCATACTACCACAGTGTCTTTCCTTACTGCTGTTAGACATTGCTAATTTATTTTTAGGGTCTTTAACCACCGAATCACTAAACCAAGGGGAGCTCTCTTGAGAGGGACAGCAGTGAACCTGCAGAGACCTTGCCCACCCTCTGTGAAAACTGTTTCTTCATATATAGTACTAACATTCAAGTATATTAAGGATCTGTGAAAACATCTGGAAGAACAGGAAAAAGCATCCCTAAGAGAATAGGAACGAAGACACCTGTATGGGTAGGAAAAGAAATGCTCAGGATCAGTTTGCTATTCTTCCAGAGAGGACAGGAGTTTGATTCCTTGAACCTATATCTCAGGTGGCTCACAACAGCCTGCAACTCCAGCTTCAAGGGACTGCATTCACCCATGCATGCACACACACACACACACACACACACACACACACACACACACACACATACTTTCGAAGTCTTTAAAAAACTGATGAGTGAAGGTCAATTGGGAATTGCAGAGCGCTACAGCATCTGTGTGCTGTGGCAAACCCTGTAAACTTTCCAAGGAGGCGAAAGAAGGTTTTAAGGCTCACGGGGAGCATTACACAATACAGGGAAACAGCCACTCTTGACCACAGAAGCTCAAAGACCAATAGTCACAATGGCACCACCTCCATCTTAAACTGCCTGTCTCGGGCAAGTGGCGGAGGTATTCACTGTACGAGGCTGTGGTAGCCTTTGCACAAGGGTGGCCCTAGCAGGATTTTTGGTATTTCTTGCTTTAGGGCACACAACCTTGACGTATTTCCTTATAACCAACCAAATTTCCTTATTGACTTATCCCTTGGTTATTAGCTGACTTAAGTGATTCTGGTTTAATTTTCGACAACATGTATAGAATAACTGGAGTTTGTTGGCACAGTTGAGCAGGGTAAGGACGTTCATAATACTGGGGTGGGAACTGGCTGCCATACCTCAGTCCAGCCCTGAGTTTGGAAGCGTCCAGCCAAACGCCAAGGCAAACCCAGGACTCAAATCTAGGACCAGGACATAAACTTGTCAGGAAGAAACTGGTTGAGCAGACTTCTCTGCCTCTGGGCAGGAGAGAAATCCTTCTGAGGTTATTGTGACATGGATGTGCAGACCAGTGTGGGTGTGGGAAGAAACAGGGACCTCCAGAACCACTTTGGAGGAGTTTGGAATTTCCAAGCATGGCAGAGAGAGCACAGGGGACTTTGTGCTGAGGGTAGCTTCAGAATCAGACTCACTGAGTGCTGAAGTTCATGTTTATGGTAACGTGAGCTAGCCTAACGTGAGCCACATTCCACATCTCTGGGGTGAAGTTGCTGGTTTGCCCGTGCCAAATTTCCGGGTTTGTTTTCCACATACTGAATTTTCCAGATGTCTGTGATTAAAAAGGTGAGCTTTTTCTCTTTTATAGACATTTGACACCCCTCTCCATGTGTCCTTTTACACCCTCAGAATTGTGAAACCATTACAAAGGCTGAGTATTGATTGGGCAACAAAGGAGACATGTATTCTTGGCCAAGAGGAGAAGTGGATAGAGAATTTATCTGGAGATAAGGGCTACACGTGAAAGAGGGAGGGAGGTATAGAGTAATGAAGAGGTGGAAGTCTGTGTCCTCTCAGGGAAAGGGTGGAGGCTTTGCAGGAATTTGCATACCACTTCCTTTTGCTTCTTGTACAGTTCTTTCATCATCATGGCAATGTCAACCGTCTTGGGCACGGATGGGGTATCATTAGGATGCCATGCAGACTTCAGTGAAGTTAGAGACTGTCTGGTGAACATTCTGACTGCCTTCTTTAGACTCAGCTCATCTTAGCCAGCCCTCCTAAACTACCGACCCCGAGTCAGGCGACAGTAAGGACCTTAAACTAGCTCAGTGAGTTTTACTCTCTCAGAGTTATGATTTCTCTGGAAATGAACGTGCAACTTTATAAAATACACTAACCAAGCTCATTGTTTCAGTAATTAATAAGAGAAAGCTTCATTCATAGTCTTCATGTTGGGCTTGTGTAATAGTTTAGTGCTGGAATGTTTCTGTATGGAAGGCTTTGTCACCAGCGGGTAACACTGTTGGAAGACGGTAGACTCTTCAGGAGGTGGGAGACAGTCATTGGAGGTGGGTCTAGATGATTATACTAGATCTCTAATCTGTTCCTTTCTCTTTCTACTTTCTGGTCACTCTTAAGTTAGCAGTTGTAGTCTTCCACTAGTTGCTGGCGCATTAGCAGCATAGTTGTTGTGAACGTGACAAACTACCCTCTGTTTGGATGTGAGACATACTGTAACCAGAATACCCCACCATGAGAGTCTCCCTACCTCAGGCCAAATTGATAGGACCAAGTAACCATGGGCTGAAATCTCTGAAACTGTGAGCTAAGATAAAACTTTCCTCCTCGAGCTGCTTCTGCCGGTCACCAGCTGCAATACTCTGGAGAGCAGGCCCTGCACAAGATGAGAAAGAAGGAGACGGGAGAGGAGCTGATATGGGAAAGAACTAGATGGATGAGAACCTACATGGGACAGAACTAAGATGAAGGAATTAAGATAGAATTTAAAGGGGCCACCAGATAAATGTAGAGAGAAATCAGGCAAGAAAGGAGCTAGGCATGAGAGCAGAATAGAAGCTTGTAGAGAGAGAACTGTCACAGAATAATAAAGTATATGGACTAAGGAGTTTTGTGTACATAGATTCATTTCTTTCCATCAAAGATAAAATTATCAGCTGGTTGTAGATTCTTCCTGGACCCTGGGAGGGGACTATCGAGGGGCTGGATGCCCCAAGTCCCTGATACAGACCCAAAGTTGCAGGATCTCGACAACACAGGACAACAACAGGTCCCAGTGAGGGCCCAGCACTGATAGTGTAGCAGAAACCAGAGGCCTCAAACCAGACCAATGACTCTTTGCGATGAACACTTGGAAGTAAAGATAAGTGGACAAAGGGGTTTAATGTGTGACTCACTGTGTCACACTACAGCTTCCATGACAAGACTCCCCCTTTTTATCTTTCCTTTTTAAAAAAAAATTTTTCTGGGGTGGGGGCTGCAATGGCAGAGGGACAGAATACACAGGGACAGGAAATTAATGGGATTGAGATGATGTAAAAGACACAAAGTAAATAAAAAGAAAGTTAAAAAAACTTTTCTCCTCACAATTTGATAGCATGGATATTTTGTCACAAAGAAGAGGCTGAATAATAAACTTATCTCTGAAGTTCTAGGTGTCTGACAAACAAGTCTAAGAATATTGATCTCAGAATCGGGATAAGTAGAAGAAAAAGAAAGAAGTGAGTGTCTCCATTATTATTTTAAGGTGAAGAGGGAACGTTTGTCCATTCTCCCTTTTCTTAGGACATGGTCTTTTTTTTTGTGACAGCTAGTACACATCAATAAATATGAATCCCCAATGAAGAGCTCAGTTACTCATCAGACTCCTGGTCCATCAAGCACTGAATGAAACTGAACCACATGAAGACTGGGATGATGAAGTCAGTCCTGCTTCTTGGGAAATTAAGCCACAGCTAAGCAATAGATGGCATATGCTGGTCCACCAACTGTCAGAGCCATTGTGAGTCTGTGAGGGCATCAGATGCTCTGCCCTTCAGGTGCACTGACATCCCATTATCCTCCTGACACAGCTTTTGTTTCTCTGGAACTTGTTTTCAAAATGCCTTTGTGAGGTAGTGCTAATGATACTCTGGGCAATTTGGTGGAGGGCCAGCAGGTTCTGAAACACTTTGGCTCAATTGCTGCCCACCAACCACAACTACTGAATGCCGAAAATTGGAAACCACCAAGCCAGAAACAGTGACATTGTCTTTTTTATTTTAGTTTTTAAAAAGCATATAAAACTGGATTTTGTTATGCCATTTTAATGCATGAGTATCATTATACTCTTTGCTAATATTTGCTTCTCATAACCCCTTTCCCCTGGCTCCCAAGTATGAAAACTTTCTCTTCCCCTTGGAGATATGCATTAATCTTAACAGCCGACAAAACCTCTTCTAAGGGTATGTCTGTGCTGTCTTCTCCAGGCTCTGGGTAGTTACAGAGAAACAACAGGGACTGAACTGCTAGAAGGAAATGTTTTGCAGAGGAGTTGCAGCGCTGTCTAAGAGCCTGGGGTCTCCCTCTGGGACCCAAGAAAGATGACTACAAATCCTAAATGGTCTTATAATAAAAACCTAGAGCCAGATATCAGAGTGAAAGCTGAAAGATTGGAGAAGCAGAGCAAACCACAGCCACCACCTCTTACCTCACCAACTCCTCATCCTGACAGAGCCTCTGCAAGAGAGAGAATTCCTGTCTCCTCCCACCTTCTTTTCTTTCTCTGCCCAGCCATATCACTTCCTGTCTCAACCTTCCTAGTACTGGGATTAAAGGGGTGTGCCACCACTGCCTGACCTCTGTGACTAACTCTGTGGCTGGCTCTGTCCTCTGATCTTCAGGCAAGCTTTATTTCTTAGATTGCAAATATATCACCACATTTCCCTCTTTTTGTCTAAAATAATAAAAGAAGTTTATAACTAATATAAGAAAAACTATATACAATAAGTACAATAACTATATACAATATATACAGTCAAGAATTATATTAACAATGTCCAGTCCATTAACAATTGACAAGTTCAGAGAAAATACTCTATTATTTATCATATTTTGGTGAATCCAAAGTGTTGTACTTAATTCACTTTCTATGCTAACTTATATTACAAATCAAAAACTATCTTTTGATGTCTTTCAAACTTATATACTTTACACCTCTTTAGTGACTTTCCTTTCTCAATTTGTTAACAAGGAAAACTATAACTGTCTAGTCTTCAACTCCATCAGAGACCCGAGAAGGAAATAATATTACCTAAGTAAACAGGAAGTGCAGGCAAGCAACTTCCAAAAAATGTAATAAATGATAGAAACAGCTGGCTGCCTGGACAGTCACCCAAGGTTCCTCTACAATGTTGGGGCATCCATCTTCGGCCTACATGCCTAGCATATTTGACAGACATTTCCATGAAGCAGGATTTTCTGAAGGGCTGACCTACTTTTGGCAAAGTTTGGCAGTCCTTTCTTTTGTGTCCTGCTTGTCCATTTTGGACAGCATACTGTCAGCAGTAGAGGCAAGGGCACTTTTCAGCCCAGTGGCTAACCTTTGCCACATATGGAGTGTCTTCTGTGCCCATTATCTTCTCTGAAGCAGATTGGTGCCAGCAGCAGACATGTCTCATAGTCATAAAAAAATTAAATCATTAAAACATCTTAAATGCCATATTCTGTGGATCTCTGAAGTGCTTCAAGATGACCTGTCTATCTAAAATGTATCTCTATTTGACCTTGAAAACATACCTAACCTGCCAAGTTCCATTGTAATAGGTGACTAACTGCTAACCTGCATTTCTTTATTATCCTAAAAAGTTGGTAATAATAACTTTCAAGGACTAGCAATTTACATTACATTGTTAAATGAGCTGTAAAGGTGCAATACCTTGAACAGGAGTAGAAATATATGTACAGTATTTTCTAACAAAATTAATCTCAAATTTGTATCAATATATATAACTTGTACACAATATACAAAAATCTAATCCAATACAAAATATTTAAAACTAGTAGTTGCTTTTAAAAGTAGATTCAGTAATCTACCTTTTTATCTTATATCTATATTTCCGTTTTTGTTTTCAGAGTAGATTCATTCATCTACCCTTTTATCCTATCATATCTGCATCACCTTTTTTCTTTTTCTTTTTTTTCTAACAAGAACCCTGAATCTAATCTCCCTTATTCAGCTTTTTTCCTGACCATTATCAATACAACTTGTAGCCAAAAACCCTAAACAATGACAAATATCCATAACCCATTGAAGGACCAAAAACCACCCACCCCATTTCTTGGGAATGTGGGTGTCATGTTCTTAAAATTACTTCCTGCTGTCTGGGGGCAATGGCATCTTTAGGGGATCCTGAAAGGAAAAATTTTGGGTTAATTGTCAAGTCCATGAGAGACAGCTGTATCATTTGTTGTCCAGTCTCTGCATAATGAGAAAGGGCAGGGCTTGTCTCAAGTCCTGGTTAGAGGCTCTGTCAGGCTGAGGAGTTGGTGAGGTAAGAGGTGGTAGCTGTGATTTGCTCTGCTTCTCTGATCTTTCAGCTTTCACCCTGATATCTGGCTCCAGGTTTTTATTATAAGACCATTTAGGATTCATGCAACAGGGATATGATAAAGAAATCCAGGAGCTCATGCCATTGATCATGAATCCTCTCACATACCTCAAATAGTGGGATCACATATCACACCCCATCTCACATAGACTTTTACCCAGTCAAGCCTCATTCCAAAACAAGACAAGATTAAGATCAAGGGTCAAGGTGTTTGGAGCACCTTAATAGATCGTCTTACTGAAAAGTGCTCAGGTTCTATCTGAACTGCATGAGTGTCTTTGAGTTCCTTCTTTATCTGCCCACCTGGGCAGAAGTCCAGGGACACATGTGGACCTCCACAAGGAACAGAGGCGTGAGATCAGCAATGGCTCTGGTGTTTGTGACCATCTACAGTTGAAGGCATTTATTATAGGTCCTGGACAGGTAGGTGTTGGATCTAGGCTAGACCCTAGGCCAGGCTAGTTAACACTTGGCTCTAAACATCGTTACCTTTTCCTAGTTCTCAGTGGACTCACGCCATCTGCTTAGCTCTTCTGGGTAATGGATGACAGCACCTCCACTTCTTGCCTTAGTGTTCACGCAGACATGAGCTGGAGTCAGTTCCTGGGGTGTTATTCTCCAGCCCTCCTTGAACTGTTTGGGCCTCACTGTGGCTGCAAATCAGAACATAGTCTCCCTGGAATCCAGGATAGCCCCACTATGAAGGGTAGAAAAAACCTACACAGAGGCCCCTTATTTGGGATTTATCCGTGTGTGTGTGTGTGTGTGTGTGTGTGTGTGTGTGTGTGTGTGTGTGTGTTGTTATGGATGCATGTGGTGTACACTCATATTCATGTACATATGCACATACTACATGTGTATGTTTGTGTAGGCGCAGATGGATGACAGCTATCACTCCCTATCTGTGATGACTTGAACTTGAACTTGAAGCTCATTATTGATTCGGTTAGTTTGGCTGGTCAATAGGTTTCAGGAATCTACCTGTCTCTATTCCCTCCTCATCAACCTCCAAGGCTGGTACCCCCTCCTGGATTTGGACACTGCCCCCTAATCCCTAAGTACATTGCACACACAGGTTTGGTCTCTTTGATTTTTTTTTTTGAGGTCTTATTGTGACTTTAGACTACTCTAAATGCTTTTATTTCTTGATGAAATCTATGTATCATAAAATTAACCCTTTACTCTGTGAAACTTTGCAGCGTTTGGCCTGCCGACAATGTTTTGGTAGCAGGCATTTCTCAAGAGTTAAATGTTTGCAGGAAAGGTCTCGACCTGTGTTCTGATAGCTGTGGCATCTCGGTTCCTGTCTCTGTAAGACTGGGCTGACATGGGCTATCACCAAGCTCTCAACATGTTCTGATCTGGATCTCCAAGTGTTGCCTCAGCTCTCTTGGCACAATTCCTTCTTAGCATGGGGACTTCTGGCAGTCTGAGGTACCATGGAACCTTCCTCCTGCTCTTAACCCAACATGTGACCCAACAACACAGTCCCCCCATGCACATAGGGGTACCGGTTCCCCATAGCGCAGCCTCTCCTCTGTACCTTTCTGGAAGAGCTGTGCTAGCCCTACCTGCTGGACTATGTGGAACTGGCCTCAGAGAAGCAACTAGGAATGCAATCTAAGAGGAAACTGACTCCTGATCTTCCTGGAACTCCTCCACATACCATTTTGGACACCTACTCATGTTTCTGAACACGGAACTTTGGAGAACAAATGCACCCATGTTGGTACTTGCTTTGAGACAGAAGACATTTATGTGCACTCTTGTATTGGACACCTCCTCTCTCTCCCCACAGACAACATGGCAGGTGGAGCGGGGCTGCACTTTTAGGTCCACAGAACTAAATCTCAGTGGCCACCAGGCTGCCCACAAGTCCACCATTCTAATTCACTCATCTCTGTCCCTCAGTAAAAATGTAGTTGCAGATTGACAAGGGTCTAGGGGTGGAGAAGGGTAGAGGATGTCGCAGCCCATGGGAACAGTGGGTCTTGGGACCCATGGGAACAGTGGGTCTTGGGACCCATGGGAACAGCGGGTCGTGGTCTCCAGCAGAATGACAGCACATTTCTGCAGAGGGAGATCTTCGATTGCAGTGAGGAGGTTTGGGGCTGGGTTCCCAGGACCTATTATCAGCTAGTTCCTCTAGAGAGAAGGAAGGAACTTCAAGAAACTCTCAAGAAAGGTACAAAAACTCAGAAGAATGCTACAAGACTCATGTCCCTCACCAAGACTGTGTAAGCAAGCAAACAACTTCTGGGACAGAAATAGAATTTTTTAATTAAAAAATATTTTTATTATTTTATGTGTATGAGTGTGTTCTGTCTGCACATGTAACACATGAATGCTTGGTGCCTGTGGAGGCCAGAAGAGGGCATTAGATTCCCAGGGACTGGTGTTACAGATGATTGTGAACTGCTGTGTGCTGGGAATTGAATCTAGGTTCTCTGGAAGAGCAGCCAGTGCTCTAACTACTGAGCCATCTCTCCAGCTCAGAAGAAGAACTGAATGGTGTGACTCTTCATATGCTGTGAGGGATTTCCCATGGTGCCTCTGTCATGTGTTGTCATTCATGCTATGACGTGCCTTTTGGCAACGTGTCTGCCGAACTATCTATGTTCCTGAAAACGTACTTCAGCCCCCAGAGGGAGCACATTTGGGACAGGCACACATGCTGTCCACTTCTTGCTGGAAAGACTGGTGGAAATGATTATAAAGGAACGTATCGTGACTATGGAATTAAAAGCCCAGTTTTCACCGGGCAGATGGGGCTGTGTTCATCAGAGCTAAGAAGGAAAGCTCCTGCAGAGGAAGACATTAACGGCTCGCTGGATAAGGTGGCCAAGGCTGCTTGCAGGTGAGGCCTGTGCAGGGTCACCGGAGGTCCCATGTTGAATCACAGGTTTGTTGCGCCCTTGCTGATGGCGGAATGTTTGGACACTGGTGGAGGCTGGGCCAGTGTGTGTTGGCTCATGGAAACCCCCAAATTCACCCAAGGCAATAGAAGCAGTGGGCAGATACAGAAATAGAGCTGCGGAGGGGCTTAAGAGTCAACTTTCTGGGGAATAGATAACTATCCCTGGCTGTGAGAGTGTCTTCACTTCAAGAAAATAAACCAGGCGTGGAGATTATTTGTGTACCTCAAGGCCCTTTCATAAACTAGGTGTACCAGTGGGGGAACAGTGGCAGCGGAGCCAGCTTGGATCCTTTCACATTTGGCAGACTGCCAAAGCAGACGGCACGACGGGCGTGAGCACAGGCTTCCTTCTTGGTTCCGGACATGCGCATTCAGCTTACACCATACATAAGAGGCTCCGTGGGGGTAGAGATAGAAGGCATGCCTGAGTCGGTGCCCCATGGCAGGGAAGCCATGGGTACATGGAGAGTGGCTCTGGGTGGTAGAGGGTTAACTGATAAACAACACGGTAGCCCTCACCCGTGCCACTGTCCCCGACATGGCTCTTTTGAGGAGACACCGATAAAAACAACGGGAGGGAAAGTCACACTCTACTAGAACTCGCTAACTTTTTTTTTTTTTTTTTT